AGGCTGAAGGAGCAAGTGTGCTTACCCCACCAAACTGTTACAGGGGGAAATGAAGAGTGGAAAGATAAAGTGGACAGTTCGGTACCCTGCCCGGCCCAGAGCAGCACTGAAATGTTTGTTAAATAAATGCTGTTGCCCATGTGCTTCAAGTCAGAACTGACTCATGGTGGATTTTCCAAGCCTGTAAAGCCCGTATTTCCTCTTCAGCAGCTAATGGATTAAAATCATCTCCCTTTGGGTTGGCGGCATAATTCCTTACCTCTAGGCTATGAGTTAAATAGAGAGAAATCCTTCTTTCTAAAGAAAAGTTCCATACCTTGTGCAGGCAAAGAGGGAACCAGTGGGCTGAGCCCTCTGCCACAGATCCTTTCTCGTGAGTTGTCCCTTCAGATAACATACTCTGAGTATATTAGCAAACCAACTATCTTATTGACAAAGTATGTACTGTTTGTTGTTATGTGCCATCAAGTAGCTTGCGACTCATAGCGACCCTATGTACGACAGCTCTAAACTCTGCTCTGTCCTGTGCCAATCTCATTGTCTCCAGCATGCTCATCCCAATTACCCCACTCACCAAATCAATCCATCTCCTAGAGGGCCTTCCTCTCCTGTGCCTGCCCTCCACCCTCCCAAGCATGATGTCCTTCTCCAAGGACTGGTCTCTCCTTACAACATGACCAAAGTATGTCAGATGAAACCTCAGAATCCTTGCCTCCAAGGAGCAGCCCTGTTTAACCCTCTCCAGGATGAATCTGTTTGTTTTCTTAGCAATCCATGGTACCCTCAGCACTCTTCTCCAACACCAAAGCTCAAAGGCATCAATTCTCCTTCTGTCCTCCTTAGTCATTGTCCAACTCTCTGATGCATAACAAGTGATAGCCTATGTTTCAAAAACTAAGAAGCAATGATATGACGATCCCTTTATTACTGTGAATAAAGTATCCTATCTACTTTTTTGTAGACAAACTGATTTCTTCATATGTCTTCTTGTGAATATAATTGCTTGTATTTCTTCTGTCATTTGAATTATGTTTGAAGTTTGAGTTTTTGTCATGGCATCTATAAGTAAACATAGATATAAAATGGTATTCCTTTCTCATAAATATCTGTTGATGATATTAATATTCAATCAAAAACATTAATGAAAAGATTACTTTAAAAAATAGTTTTTGGGTTTGTTTTGTTTTGTTTTTTTTTTAATTTATTTTATTAATTTTAATGAACATTTACAGAGATTTTAGATTTCCATTCATTCATTGTTGCACTTTTCTCCCTGCCCATCCCTCCCCTAAGTTCGCTCTTCTCTTTGAAAAGAAAAAATTCCTTCATTGGTATACAATCTCCCTGTCCCCCCACCCCCACCCCCACCCCTGCCCCGAGTACACTTCACTATGCAACCTTCACTGAGACAATTTAAAGAGTGAATAAGAGACTAGCAGGAGAGATAGAGTGGGTATTTACAAAATTGGAGAAGTGTTACATGGTAAATGAAGTTTGGAAAATAATCTTTGATTGTAAGCTCTCCGAGGTTAAGAACCTGTCATAACTTTCTGTGACCATAAAGAGTGGACTTACTACATATATGCATATGTATGTGAAAGTTTGAATCAATATATAAATGCAAATTAAGATGCAAGAGTGTAAGACTTTAAACCACTTCATGAGATTAATTTATTACTAGAAATGAAAGTATGTGAACTAGAGACATGTTATGGGCAGTCAGGAAGTAAAAGCAGGTGGACGTGTATGGTTGGTTGGCCAACACTCTACACCACAAAATTGGATAAGTTTGGGCAACAGAAGACAATAGTCTGAATTTCGATGCCAGATCCAGAATGGCAGCTTCTGACGTCGACAAAACCCCTAACGTTTTTGAGAAAGAATGATGATATTTTATCAGTAGGATAATAGTTTTCCACATGAACCCGAGTTTACCGTTTCCCCCGCCATCCAAGCTTCATTTCAGGAAAAAGAAGGAAAACGAAGTGACTTTTTGCTGCTCTGCAAAACAATAAAGCAGCATCCACACACACACACAAAAAATAATAATAATAATATCAACAAGGACAACAACACTTAGCAAGTCAAACACATTTTCAAGTATTACATCTACCAACTCCATTAGTTCACACATCCCATGATGTAGATACTGTTTTATTCCCGTATTTGCAGGGGAAAGGTGAATGTTAAATGCTGAGTCATTTGTCCAAGATGACACTGCTAAAGAAATTGGCCCTACAATCCTTGCTGTTACCCACCCAGTCCGCCTCTACACAGACAGGCAGTAGGCTCTTCACACCCTAATGCACACGTTTCCTTGGCAACAGATTTTTTTTTTTAGCAAACCATGCACACTGGCACACTCTCAGATCTCTTCTTTGAAACTTGAAAGTACTGCATTCCCTTGGTTTCTGATCTGATGGTTACGTGCTCCTTGCAAAATAACTCTTTCACTTCAGGAAGCGTCAGGTCATCAGGTCGGCATGTTGAGTCCCAGGCTTACAGGTGCAAAGGAAGACATAATGAAATTGCCTGCAGGGGTGGAGGTAGTTAGAGAAGTGAGGGGGAACCCTCCTATTAGTCACTCTCCAGGGACTCAAAAGCTTCCCAGACAACAAAGCAGCTTCGTAAAAAGCCAGCTCAATAGCCAGCATCATCAGAGAAATAACCTATCACTTTGAACCCCTCGAAACAGAGCAGGTAGTTGGGTGGGATGGTTACGACTCCAGCTGAGGAGTATTGGACATCCTTCTACACCGACACCCTGATATTCTGCTTCCTCCCTGTCCAGGCCTTGGGCCTTTGGCTGAGCCCTGGCTCCTGAATTGAAGGCTGTGTTGCCAAATGGGCTTCTTCTTGCACCAGTAACAAGAGTTATAGTGATGTAAGCAAAACCCATTTGAAGTCACTTAGCAAAAGGATAGTATAACTGGGAGACCATAAGGCGTTTTGTCCTAAAGCCGTGACAGAACAGAGCCAGTGGAGTGTGATTTCTAGGCCTGATTCGACATTTTTTTAAATTGGTTTGCACATAGTCATTCATTTATGTTTAATTCATGTATATCATGTTTTATATAATCATACTGTGTTTTATATACTAAATTATTATTGATCTATGACTTTTATCGCCCTATCTTACCAAGTCTCTATTGTACCTAGCCTATTTTTTCACCCTCCCAATCCATTCATTAATCTCTGCTGTTCTAATGGTGCCCCCCACCCCCTTTTGCTCCATGGACTGCCAAAAGAACAGATAATGCTTTGGGGAAAGTGCAGCCAGAGTGCTTCTTGGAGACAAAGATGGCAAAGCTCTGTCTCTCATACTATGGACATGTTGCAAGGAGAGATTATTCCTTGGAGAGGAACATCATGCTTGAGAAGGTGGAGGGTCAGTGAGAGAGGGGAAGACCCCAATGAGATGGATTAACACAGTGACTGCAGGAGAGGGCTCAGTGTGTCAGAGGATGAGGATGCATAGACTAGAACAGGGCTCAGTGCTGCTTTTTCTAGGGTCATTATGAGTCATACTCAACTCGGCTGCACCTGATAATAACGACATACTTACTGCACACTCAGTATTTTTACAAAAATATCCTAGTGCTCAAAATTCAAGAAGTAAAAGAGAGCAGGATCAAAGCATCACCTAGAAAAATATATTTCTCTTAATTCCGTAAGAACGAAGCCAGATCCCAAAGCAGTTGTGTTCGCAGGACCCCATCCAGCCCTGAAATAGTCATGGGATTCACACTGCATGTGCATGTGTGAGCTTGGATACCTGCAGCAGAATGGCTGTCTTGAAAAAAAGCTGATGTTTACCTGGGCACTTCCCCCCAAGTCTTTTTCTGTTACCAGATCAAATGACTATCCATGCTCGGAGTCAATAAGTACCAGATACACGTAAGGACACCAAATCAACCACACAGGGCCACACAGTTGTAGATTGTGTAGGTGACTGTCACAGCACTAACTTTAAGAGTCAGAAAGGATCCTCTGGTATGTTAGCTCTGGCTTAATGTTACATAATGTTTATAACATGCCAAACACTGTCGCAGATGGCCCAATTTATATATGTTCTCTATATCTCTGATTCCCACTTAAACCCAGGAGTGGCTCACTTAAATATATTCAGAGATTTGGAAATTAACAATTCAAGTCAGTGCATCGGAGCTTGCCTGTCTTGTGGGGCCCTGACGTGGATTGGCTGGCAGGCAGCTGCTGGCATTACGCAATTGGCTTGGATGTGAAATTGCCCAACAGAAGCAGGCCTCTTCGCTTCCACACCGTGACTCAGGCTCCTGCCGCCAAGCTAAGCAGCAGAGCCACGGAGGGCAGCGTTATACAACAGCTCCACTGTTATCTTTATCACAGATGTTGCCGCTGCAAAGAGCTCTATCTTATATCCCATTTCCAACAGATGCCTGTGAGCCTCCGGAAGCCTCGGGGATCTTTTCCCAAAGTTGTAGCAATGCCAACAAGAGCGCTTTTTTAACGTGGAAGGACACGGGGACCTCAGACACTAGGACTAATGTGATGTATGGATCATAAAACTTGCCTTGGAGGGTTTTACCCAGCTGGCCAACCAGACAAGGAGCGTGGCTTGGTTCTGAATGTGGAATATAAATTTACTGAGCTTCAGGAAAGATGGGTTTGGACAGGATCTTTAAAGTGTGAGATGGTCGATGTTAGGCTGGAAAGCTCCCTCCCTCCCTCTCTTTCTCTGTCTCTCTGTCTTACACACACACACACACACACACACACACACACACACGCATTGTCTGTAGATAAGTTCCAAGAATTGCCTGCGTGCGGCTGCACAGGATCCCAGTGGAAGGGCGGCAGTTTTCTCGTGTTTGCTTGCTGTTTGCTTTTCCTTCAATGCAGAAATGGCATCAAGATTATAAGAGGAGTCTCTTGCCATAAGATTTTCCTAGAGATCTGATGAAGCACCTTTCTTCCTGCCTGCAGGCGCTAACTGCAGCTCTCTCTCCTCCTCGTTTCAGTTTACAAGATGCTGGGATTGGATTTATCCTTGTCATAGACCGAAGGCAAGACAAATGGACTTCAGTGAAGGCGTCGGTCCTGCGAATAGCAGTAAGTGGCCTGTACCCCTGGGGGTCCCAGGAAAGGTCCCTCCGACTCCCATCCTGGTGAGGGACCTGCAGTGTTGCTGCTCCTGAGATTCAGCAGCCCATGGTTTCCTCCCTTCAGCTCAGCCACAGCTGATGCTCAGCTTGGACTCCCACGTGAATGATAAGCAGGGGCTGGGGGTGAGGAGGGCGAGGCAAAAGTAAAGGGGACAAACCTGGGAACCCACATCTTCTTTAGCTTCTCAGAAAATGACTGCAAAGCTGTGTTGTTTGGTTCATTTTCACAAGCTGCTAAAGGACCTCTTATCATTTACAAACTGTTTCACTTTTCCAGGACTGCCAGTTTAGGTCTGAGTGTTAAATATGCAAGATGAATCTGGATTTCAATATTTAGTCACCTTTAAATGCACCACAAAAGTTTTGATCGAGGAAGGTTAAATTGTTAAATTGTCTCTGAAAATCTTTAAGTTACAAGTTTCAGTTATATCACTTTTTTCTTAAATGGCCTTCTTATCCAGATAAAGCCATGTGTTCTGTAAAACTGAATAAAATACAGCAGGAATTCTTAGAAATGCACCCCTGAATTTTGTAGCCCACATTTCCAACGAGGCTATCTTTACATCTGCAGAGTCCATTTGCATATTCTGGGAACTGTCCTCGGCACTAGAAAATTCACCGTTTGGTTATTGTTTAGGGTTTTTGGTTATTTAATATTAGACTGAGGTGACAGTGTAAGAAGAGGAGATTAAGTTGGCAGAGAGCCCCCAGATCTTATTTTCCTCCGGTGCTTCCGCTTCCACCCACACCCTGGAGGGGGGCTGGCAGCCTTCTCACCAAGCTGAGCTTCACCCACGTTCGTGGTCCCTGCCTGCTGGTGGGAACACAGCAGCAGCTGAAGGACCGAAAAGGAGTTTGGTTGTCACATACAGGCCGGCCCACAGCACCTGTGACGTGTTGGTGCTTAAATGTGAGAGCTCAGCTACCCTCAAACTATTCCTTAGGACTTTACCTCCTGAGGAAATGAAGATTTCTCTTACTTCTTGTTCTTGGTCTTGTCATATATTCAAAACCATCTTTGACCTTTGAGAAGTCAGCTGGATTCAGGTTCAGGGTATAGCAGAAGAATTCATATCTTTTCCTACATTGTGCTTTGTTACTTCATCTTTGTTGTTGTTCTTATTGTGTGAGTCAGAACTGACTCTTTTTTTTTAATTGTTGACCCTCCAGCAGGTTCTCAGAAGCTGTAAATCTCACAGAAGTAGAATGCCCATCTTTCAAACCAACTGCTGTTGGGTTGGCAGCACGGCTCCTTTCCCACTAAGCTACCAGGCAGAGCTCCCCAAGTATTCGCTATGACCCTTAACAACCTAACATCTTTTTTTGATCTAAGCTCTTGCTTCTTCTTCGACTTTGTCTTTCATATAAAAAGATCTTACCTGCATCGGATTCTCTTGCACTTTTTTGCTGCATCTCCTGGAAGTTTGATCCCCTGTCATGTCCTTAGTCCCAGGCTAGCATGTACTTCCCACAGCAGTATTTTTCAGGAAGAAATCAAAGTTCTCAAAAATGTGTCCAGAGAAGCAGACATGTTACATATCCAATACTCTTTTTATGGAACACTTCAGACGTTTAGAAAAAACTTTTGATAATACATTGTTGCCAGTTAAAAACCAAAGTGTTTCATTTAATTATCTTCCATTTTAAAATGGATTCTTTGAACATGATCATGTGGGGGACAGAATGAGAACCCACTGTGTCAGACACACAACAGATAGTTCTTGAATCAGTAAATTAGTCCAGGGGTACCAAGAAGCATATTGTTGTTCAGAGAAAGACTAAAAATGAAAAATAACATTTTAAACTCAAAATACTCTATCCCGTTTCTTTTACATTTATCCACTGTTGATTTGAGGAGCACTGGTGGGGATGGAGGTAAGATACTTGGCTGCTGACCAATGAGTGCTTCAAACTCACCAGTGGTACTGCGGGAGGAAGATGTAGCTTCCAGTTTCGATAAAGGTTGCAGCTCGGAACCTCTGTGGAGCAATTCGACTCTCTCCGCAGAGCTGATATGGAATTGACTCAATGACAGTGGGTTGGGTTTATTGGAATAGATTATGGACTTAAAGAAATCATTAGAAAGCTTTATGAATGGACAGTAGGGGCCAGCTGCTTCCTTTGATACTCAGAGGTCTTTCATTTCCTTCTGTAGGGTTCAAGGATGCCTTTCTTTACTATCATCGCCTAAAGTATTCTCTCACACCTTTGCACACTTCCTCTACTGAGAGTTCCCACCACCAAAGGTCCACCTGAGAGAGATTTTCTACTCATTCTGTCACACTTTTATCAAATGTCGCCTTTCCCAGAAGCCTAGCCAGAGCCGGTTGCCCCATTCTCCAAGTCTTCCACTTTGCTCCTACCTTTCTGAGGCACAGCCACAGTCCACAGTTATTAAGGGTGTGTACGCTATGAGTTCCTTGATGGCAAGCCCAAACCCTGTTCATGTCTGCTCCTCACATCCAGCCCACTGCCACACACATGGCATGTTCACAGTAAGTGTCAGGGGAAGTCATCAGTTTCTCCTGGACTAAATGCCAAGAGGCCTCCCAAATGCATCAGTGTTTTGAAGAAATACCAAAATTCTTTTTAAAAACGGAAGCAATCCATTGAGATCATCCGACAAGACACCATGCAATATGCTGTGTGACAAAGCTCCACATGGTGTAGGTGTTGAGATTCCAAGTTGCCAAATGTAACCATAGTTTTATCCGTCATCAAGTTTATGACCAGAGAAATTTTTGAAGGAGATTGGTTCATCCTTAAAATATTGTTTTGTAAACATTCTGAAAAATTACTATTTCACTAGGGACATCTCTAAAGGAGAATAGAAGTGGGGACCACATCAAATGACACTGTTGGCTGAGGTGACATCGACATGCCTCTCTATATAATTTTTGTGCAGTATTTCAGTGTAAATATTTTACTTTTAAAAAAAATATCCCAGTAGTTATAAGAACAAAAACTTTTTTTATGCTCAGCTCACGTGTATCAATACACCTACATGGCTAAAACTACACGCCTGAGCTTTTGGAACCTTCCAGCATGCATTAGTTAGAGCTGCCATTATTACCCAGTTACAGTGATGCCTTGGTGCTTGAAGTGTTTTGTGCAAGCATGTGCTCCTGTTTGTGTTGCTGCCAGAGTTTCCACAGTTGCTGATTTTGTCAAATTTTCTAGTGTTTTAGCTACAGTATTGTGCTCTTTAGTGATTGTGAATATAAATCAATAACTTTCTGAGAAGAATGAAGCAGTAATTAGAGGAAACGATGGAGAAAATTGTAAAAAGTTTCCTCTCAGTTACTGATAATGTAACAAGTCATGATGTAATTCAGTGTAGAAAGAGCTCAGAAAACAGTTTTGTTGGTCATATTCATATAATGTAAGAGTTACTTTTATTGTTTTTATGTGCCATGGAGTCATAGCTACTCATAGCAACCCTGTGTACAAAAGCCCTAAACCCTGCTCTGTCCTATGCCAATCTCACTGACTCCAACACACCTACCCCCATTACCCCAGGCACTGCATCAATCCATCTCATAGAGGATCTTCTTCTCCTGCATTATCCCTACCTCCACCCTCGCAAGCATGATATCCTTCTCCAAGGACTGATCCCTCCTTACAGCATGTCCAAAGTATGTCAGATGACACTTCAGACTCCTTGCCTCCAAGGAGCAATCTGGTTTAATCCTCTCTAGGGTGAACCTGTTCATTTTCTTAGCAGTCCATGGTATATCCAACACCGCAGCTCAAAGGCATCAATTCTTCTATCCTGCCTAATCATTGTCCAGCTCTCTGACACATAGCAAATGATTGCAAAGACCATGGCCTGTATCAGGCACACCTTAGTCTCCAGAGTGACACCATTGTTTTTCAGTACTTTACTGAAACCATTTACAGCTATGGCTATATATTACTCCGGGGCTTTTGCTTAACAGTAAGGAGTTGCACTGCCAACCCAAAGGCATGCATTTAGATCCACCAGCTCTTCCCTGGGAGAAAGATGAACAGTCTCCTCCTGTGGAGTTTGGTGCCTCTGAAAACCTGCCTTATGGTCACCTATGAGTCAACTCAGACCCGATGGTGCATAACAACAACGAACATTAATAAGGATGGGTTTGAGCACAGCAGAGTTGGTGAGGATCGTGCAGGACCAGCAGGATTGTGTTCTGTTGTCCAGAGGTTCCTTGTGGGTCAGAGCTGACTTGATGGCATCTAACACCAACAAGGACTCTGCATCTGGGGATGAAAGAAGATCTGAAGGAGTAGGGGCAGCAGGGGCCTGAGCATGACCCCATGAATTTATGCACTGGATGCAGTAGTAGCATGATACTAGTTATGCTACTGTGTTTGAGTTTAAATTTTTGCATTGCTTCTTATCCACTCCCATCAAGTGGATTCCAATTCTAAATGCCCCTATAGGGCAGAGAGCTGTGATGGCTTAATGGTAAGGAGTTGTACTACCACCCTAAAAGTACATTGCTCAAATCCACCAGCTGTTCTGAAGGAGAAAGATGGGCAATCTCTTCCCGTGTGATTTACTGCCTCTGGAAACCCATTGGAGAGTCAGCCATGGGTTTGTCCTGACTCAACAGAACATAACGTAGCTATAGAGCAGGGTAGAATGCCTGGGAGAGTTCTCAAGCAGAGCAGACGGCTATGACTTTATCTCACACAGCAACTGGTTGGTTCTATTAAGAGCTGAGCACTTAACCACTGAACTGCCAGGGCTCCTTATGTTGATTTTTACAGCTTAAAAATTTACTTTCGTTACTTTGAAGGGTTTTGGTGGGTTTTTTTCTCTATCCTGTTTTCTTTCCTTTTTCATTCTCTGGGTTGGCTAATACTGATTTGATAATTGAAGCAGAATCACCAAAAACTGTCTTTTATTATTATTGTTGTTATGTGTCATCCAGTCACTTGGAACTCATAGTAAACCTGTATGTA